ATAAAACATTTGCAAAATCAAGATACTAAATATATATCAATGATATGTATTTTATGTGTGTACTTTGATTCTTCAAATGTGTGTGTTGTATTATACGAAATCATGTGTAAAGTAAATGAATCGAATCGATAACCTAAAGCGAGTCGTTCTTAAATATTTTATAATATTTAAGAATTGATCGAATTCACCCCCATTTATATTATTCTTTTAATAAATTAAGCGAATGGAATAAATTTTTAAAAAGAAAATACTTAAAAACGATCTTGATTCACCCGCGTTTACTTTAGATTTCGAACTCTATCGCAAATTATGTCATTGAAAACAGGCTTCATTCGGCAATGGGTTGCGTAATAGGATAGAAGGGCATACACGTGTGTCCCAAAGCGTCTGATAGTCGTATGCGACATATATATGTGAGGACGGATATATGACTCCCTGGCTCTAAATTCAACGGGCTGTAAAGCTTGCTAGATATCGCAGCCAGTGATGGGCGCGCGCACACACATGTGTCGGTCTTCGCGACGCGGATAGTAACGATAGAGCCGCGGCTATTGGGCGCCCATCGATGTCTCAATCGATGCTTCGCGTTTCGGGGGCGAAACGAACTTACGGTTACCTTGGAGTAGTTTTCCTGCTTATGCCATAATATTAGCCTTGAATCGATAGAACGGGGTAATTGCTCGGAGTGACGTCGATTTATATCGGTAGATTGACATTAACGAGCGTGTTTTGTCGCAGGCAATTGCCCTCTTCTTCGTTCGTATTTTCTGATACGATTGCATGCTACTTCCGATTCTCGTGCTTCCTCTTTAGCGCCAATTTGAGACGTCGCGCGCTAATTCGCCGGTAAACAATACCGCGCGCGCGGTATTATCGCCTGCGTAATGTTTTGAAAATGTTGTCAGCATACGAAGCTATTAATAACATACCTGTACATTCCTGTTGGCATAGAATTTTAATTCACTGTTTTATTAATTTACTGTACTCCTATTTGCTCTGCACTTAGCCACTGTTTATCCAACTTAAAATGTAGTTTTCTCAAAAGCGCTTTAAAGATACGGAAACACGGTACACAACATTTATCTATGTATTCAAGACTATTTTGCCCGATAAGAAAATAACATACCTTTGCAATTGATATCAAAACGATCTGACGAATAGTGAAGGTCTATCAACTCATTGATTGATGGATCGTGAAGATAACTCTATCTCTCGCGTCACTGAAATCGTTTGTTTTTTTCGTGAATTTCATGCGTACGCGCGATCTCCATCACGATCGAAAACCATGGTCCCTGCGTTTCAAGGAGAAAAAAGTTCGCGTACTACGTGGAGAAAAAAGTCCAGTCGCAGCGCGCATCTATATCAGCAATTTATGTGCAGCGAAAAAAGCATGGCGAGCAGGCGGTCACTTGGTTAACAGATCTAACTGTGACCAAGAGGCCTACTTTTCGGGCTTCCCATATACATACGCGTATGCGTGCGCCCACGCCCATAAAGCTTTCCTCACTCCTTCCCCGACTCTTGTCCTCGAACTCTTCCCGCATGTCGAATTTATTTTTAATTCCGCTTTGCCCTTTCGAATCGATGGTTTCTTATCTGCTTACTTCGGCGACACTCAAAAATAGAAACGAATACGGAGAGAATAGATAGCATCTTTACATTCGCGAATGAACGCGTGTAAAAAAATAGATAACTCTTATTTCGATCTCAGTTCAGAAATATAGGTCGAAAGACTGTGGACTGTTCGTTTTTTTGCCGGTGAGCCTCGAGAAATTACTTATCAAGGTTTTCATTGCATTCCTATTCCGTCATCGCTCTTTTTGAGCGCACTCGCAACTCGGCAGCTTGTGGTTTTCGTAAATCAGGACACGCATGCGAGCGCGAGGTGAAAGCGTTAGACGAGGATTGGCTAACGGGTCTCCGTGCGGCGACAGTGCCGGTTGCACACGCGGTTCAGAATTAATTTCGACGATAAAAACGTGAGGAGGGTCTCGGAAGTGCGAGACGGAAAGCACGAAGCGGGAAGCGTTTTTATATCGCGCATCGATGTGAATTCTAGCCTTGAAGTTGTCGGACTTTGATTCGTCGATTGATCTGCTGAGAAAAATTGGAACGAGAAAAAAGCGATGAAAACTTCATGAAAATTTATCACAATATTATTTTTCTTCATTTTAGTCGTCTATTCCGCCGAGAATTTTGAAAATGAATTTAATGCATTCTGATAACGAAAGTGACGAGCAAAGAAGCTATGGAAGCGATTTACTTGACTCGTTGAGTTCGTACATTTATGGCATAATAACTGCAAGAGATATTCTCGCACTATCACTCTTATGCGGTATACTTATCCGGTTTGTATGTCGAATAGATATCAGACCAGTGCGTGATAAATTACAGTGTTTACTCGACGCACTGTTTAGCTCGCCCGATGTTTTGCCGATTATGTACTGCACGTGCTCCATCAAGGCTGTTTATCCTTATCTATTAAGACAAATGGAACTTAACGATCGCATGTAAATAATATTATTGGTGGATTGAAAAAAATTTCCTCGCGAAATCTCGCTTTCGTTTCAGTGTAAATCGTAAATCCAGGAAATGCAATAACAAGAAGTCTGAATGTCCGTAAAAATTTTCGTAACCCAAGACCACGCATTCCAACGTTGTTGAATCTCTCACCGTTACCTAGTACAGTCGTCGTAATTGCAGCAACAACGAGATTTGACGATAAGCGGCGTATTAAATACGTGACGAGGCTACTTCGTCAATCTAAATAACTAGATCGTTACGGGAAAAAAAAAGACTGGCGCGGCGAGCGATGGGGCAACTAGTCAATTAACTCGATCAATTCTACGGTCTTCGCATACAATAAAGATTGGTTGTTCAATCGGAATGCTGTGTCGGGCTTGCGCTGCTCTCTTAACGGAACAGCGGAGGAATCTCTACATACATGCCTTATCGTGCTTATATATCTTGCATTAGTCGGCCACGATTGAAAATACCGTTGCGTCGCCGAAAGTTGCACATTCTTGTTTATCCCGAGCGTGCACGATAAAGAGATGAATATTTGGTTTCAGTTACGCCGACCGTGTAGCGACCCTTATCGCGCACTTCCACTGATAAACTCTTCCGAATTTTATTGACGTCACTCCGATGCGCCTCCGTTCGCAATAAATACATATATCGCGTGTACACTTATTGCGCACGTTAACTGCAATATAATACGTGTTTACTCAGCGTCGAACTGAAAACTTCCTTGACTTCGTGTCACAGCTGCATGATATCCATATCGCATCTAAAGCCTTCTTGCGCACCTACCAGAATTTATTGACAAAACTTTGTTTATATCCTCCGTGATAAATTTCGACACCGATTATCCCTCGATGCATCCGAGAGATCACTCGCACGGATTCGCGCGATCGAAATTCTTAAAGCAGCGCGTTGCACCGCGGCTCGGTGCGAACTGCGGTTTCGCGCGGACGGGATCGCAAGAGTTGCCCGCTGCATTCGCTGCGTCGGTGGGGCAGAGACGGTTACACGGAAATTCTGCCTGTATAAGTGTGCATGTGTGTGTAGGCTGCATTCGGGCGGCGCACCGTGCACCGAGATTCGCGTGTGCATACTGACTGATTCTGCGCGCCGCCCGCGACTGGGCGGCCACCAGGGGGCCGCCCCGTTCGACTACCCCCTTGCATTTGCTATGCAAAAGTCGCCAAGTTGTTCCACTCGCCGGCGAAGTGGTAACGCGCGGATATAGCGTGGCTGGCGCGGCCCTTTCGCGCTAGGAGTCACGGCTCACGTTTGGTCGGACGCGGTTTTCTCAAGTGTGAAACGGACCGAACGAGACTTTAAATCGATTTTTTGCCGCGCTGTACTAATCGTTGAAGAGATTACGCTGCTATTGTGACATACGAATTATTATATTTATCAATTTATGTTTCGCTAAATATACTTTCGTCACAATTCATTCATTTTATTTTAGTATACTTCAAACGATATTCTTTCTCCTGTTATTTATATCTACAATTTTGTATTCTGAATTTATGCAATTTTTAATTAAAATTCCTCTAGCCGAGTGAATTCATTCAGTAGTCGTAGTTCCGTTAGAAAACGAGTTATGTTGGCCAAATGAATGTTGTCTGACCTAATAAAAGAGGAACCAATTTGCAATATTGCGACATAAGAATGTTCATGGCGCTTGACTGCTATTTATATGGCACGTGACATTTATATTGGGAAAAGTATTAATTATAGATTGATTTGCATTGTTGCGACAGCCGATGTCTTATTAATTACACGTCAGCACGTGCGCGCTTGAGAGTGGCGTTCTATCGGCCGAATAACGATGAAATCTTTTGGTTCTCGCTTGGCGTTTAGTGTCGAAAAAGTGAAAGCCCGTCTATGCTCGACACGGAAGCGCACAAAACTTTTTAAATTCAATTTGATGTAATGGCAAATGCAGCGCTTGCGACACTTGAAAAATATTATGAGCGAATGCACTCAATAGAAAACACACTTCTTTTTACGCATTAAACATCGACCTTCTGCCTGCATAAGTGAGACCAAACAGTCAAGGCCTTGTGAAGAATAGCCAACTGCATATTTCACCTTAGCTTTTATTTCGTTTACCGCGTCACTGCATTATTCAGTTTAATTTTATTCTTCCAAATGTTTGACCGTAGAAGCTGACCCACTGCTTTTTAAATCATTTATTTTGATAAAAAATCTATTCGTAGTGCCGGAAAAAGATATGTCATAAGTGAGATCAAAGAGTCAAGGCCTTGTCAAAAATAGTCAACTACATATTTCACTTCAGCTGTTATTTCGTTTATCGCGTCACTGCATTATTCAGTCTAATTATATTCCTCAAAATATTTGGCTGTAAAAGCCGCCGGCTCGCCGCTTTTTAAATCATATTCATTCATCTTATCATTTCGATAAGAAATTTATTCACAGCGCCGCATAGATCGCAATGAGAAATATGTTTCGTGTATCAAGAAACTTACCCTCGCAGAACAGGGTGACATCGGTGAGACTCTCGCTTTTGAATAAGTTCGAGAATACCGTCGCTAGATTGTTGCCGAAACTGTTCCACTTGAGGCAGAACTGGTGCTGATGAGAGTCCATGATGCCACCCTTAGGATCGACTCCGTGACCTTCACCGCTTCTCTCGCAGCTACCTTCCAATGGGTATTTACCTCCTTGATCGCGCTCGTGCCCAATTGCTCGTGCAGCTACGCAGAAAGCAGACTCGATTATCGACCGGATCTCACTTCTCTCTCGTCAGGATGTAAAGACAATTAACAGATATACACTGTAAAGAAAGAGTTATAAATTATTATAATTTCAATATGAGAAACATTAGAGAGAGAGAGAGAGAGAGAGAGAGAGAGAGAGAGAGAGAGAGAGAGAGAGAGATTGGAAGAGCTTGAAAGTCGCCGAAGAAGAATGAAAAAAAGCCTTGCATCAGACAGTTGATATTTTTGTCATGAGCCATTTTGATAAATAATTCATTATTTGCTATTGCATGCACTGTCAAGCTTTGGATAGAGCTATACCGAAATCTCGGACCGTGAATGAAACGATCCACGGAGAAATATCAGATCACACTACGGTGACTCCAACATTTGAGTGTTGATAACCTCGAGATACGAGATACCTCACAAATGCGACATACCTCTTTCGATTCACTCGCTCCGCGCGTAATATGTTTATCGTGACAGAGAAGCTACTGGGATGCGCGCGGTCGTCGCAGCCGCCGTTTCGCACGCCGAGTGTCGAGCGAGGAGAGAGAAGGCGTGAGAGAAACAGAGAGAGCCGCCGAAATATCGGGATGCTACTCCGAGTTTTTTTTTTTCAAAGTCGCGGTCGCACGCGCAGTGCTCCTATCGCGCTCACGAGCCGCGATCGCACGATGCCGGCCGCGCCATGTCAAAATTCCACCGCATTTCCGCGACGCTCGCGATAAAAAAACGTCCAGCAGCGAGGAGAGGAGAGATCTTATACCGGTGCCAACGGGGCGTGTCAACGAGCGTTAACGCGTAGCCGCGGTGACTTCATTCACTCGCAGCAGCGTCGATTTAACAGCAGCCGGCAAAACTCAATGCACTCCACGTCTCCTTCCGCTCCACGTTTCCGCGACTTCCGGAATGCACACCGCACTATCGATGAAAGGGAGAGGGAAGGATTTACGACAGAGTTCCGCACCGCGCGCACGTGTCTTCTACGCGGTGCATGATCCGCGTCCACTGCGCGCTTGTATCGCCGGCAGGCCGATCGATCGATCGATTCGGTATCACCCAGCGCGCGAGAG